TCCGCGGCACTCTGTGCCGCCGCCCGCACCCGACCGCCCGCTGTTTCCGCCGCCTCGACGATCTTTTTCGTCGTCGCTTTGGCCCGGCCCCGGACCTCCCTGATTGGCACAGCCTGCTCCGCCAGGGCGTGCCGATCTTTGAGTTAGACATGGATCAGATAGGTGCTGCTTTGCATGCTTTGTATGCTGACGCTTCTAGTGTTGATGGATCTTACTACCCTGTGTACTCTAGTTTAGGTGTTTCACCCTTGTGTAGCTTAGCTTCCCCTGCTGCGACAGGCGTAGGACTGCCTAGGTTGCCTAGTCTAGTCGCTGCACCGGCTCCGTCCCCGGCCCCCGCCACTGCGTCGCTGTCCTTCACTCTCGACTCTGGTGCTTCTGCCTGCTTCTTCCGCGACCGTTCCACGCTCACGCCGCTTGCTGCACCTGCTGTTGTCTCTCTCGCTGACCCCTCTGCGGGTCCGGTCGTCGCGCACAGTTCTACGTCCCTTCCCTGTCCGGCAGTTCCCTCGGGCTCCCTTACTGGCCTCCACGTTCCCTCGTTCTCCAGGAACCTGGTTGGTGTCGGCTGTCTCCAGGACCTCGGCGTCACCACCACGTTCCCCGGGCACGAGCGGTTCGCTGTCTGTTCTGAGGCTGTCTCAGGTTCCCCCCTTGCGACGTTCCCCCGGGACCCGGTGTCCGGTCTGTTTACCCTACACACCGCTTCCCCCCCGGTTGGTGCGTCCTCCCAGGTCGCTGCAGCTTGCTCGTGTCGGTCCCTCACTCACCCCTCCCTTCTCTGGCACCACCGCTTAGGTCACCCTGCTCTCCCGCGTCTGCGTCACATGTCCCAGCACGGTCTTGTCTTCGGTCTCCCCGCGTCGCTCCCTGCCCTTCCTCCCTCGACTGCGCCACCGTGCACGCCTTGCGTCGAGGGTCGGCTCCGCCGTGCTCCTCACTCCTCCTCGCTGCATCCTGCTACTGCCCCCCTTCAGACCCTGCACTTGGACGTTTGGGGCCCTGCCCCCGTCCCCGGACCGCGCGGTGAGCGCTACTTCCTTGTGCTTGTCAACGACTACACGCGCTACACCACGGTGTTTCCCCTGGAGCGGAAGGCCGACGTGCCCGACGTTCTTCTCCCGTGGGTTGTGGCTGCGCGTCTCCACCGCGGTCTCCCCGTGTTGTGTCTCCACTCCGACCGTGGCGGCGAGTTCGCCTCTGGTCGGCTTGGACAGTTCTGTCGTGCGGAGGGCATCACCCAGTCGTACACGTTGCCGGACTCGCCACAGCAGAATGGGGTTGCTGAGCGCCGCATCGGCTTGGTCATGGAGGTCGCCCGTACCTCCATGATCCATGCCGATGCCCCCCATTTTCTGTGGCCGTTCGCTGTTCGCTACGCGGCTCACCAGCTTAACCTGTGGCCACGCTCCCAGCGGCCGCAGGTTTCGCCGACCCTCCTTTGGACCGGGTCCCCCGGTGACGCGTCTGCGTTCCACGTCTGGGGCTGCCTTGCTCACGTTCGTGCCTCTGGCACGGACAAGCTCACTGCCCGCACTGTCCCCTGTGTCTTCCTCGGTTTCCCCCTGGACTCGTCTGACTGGCTTTTCTACCACCCGCCGTCTCACCGCTTCCTCCACTCTCGTGACGTCACCTTTGATGAGTCCGTCTCCTTCTACCGCCGCTTCCCTCACCGAGGTCTCCCAGTTGCCCCCCCCCTTTTCCTTGCTCCCTCTCCCCCGGTAGCCCCTGCCCCTCTCCCGCCTCGTCCTGCCCCGTCTGGTGTCTCCCACGTCACTCCCCTCCCGTCGGTTGTCCCCGTTGAGGAGTCTGCTGACTCTGGTGGTACCCCCGGTCCGTCCTTGCCGCGTCCCCCTTCCCCGGTGCCTCCGCCCCCACTGTCGCAGTCGCCGACCCCGCTGCCGCCGCCGTCGCCGTCGCCGCCGCAGCCGTCGCCGCTGTTGTCGCCGCCGTCGCCGCTGTCGCTGCCGCAGCCGTCGCCGCTGTCGCCGCCGCCGCAGCCGTTGCCGCCACTGCCGCCGCTGCTCTCGGCCCCTGGGGGTGCTGGTGTGGAGGAGGGTGTTCGTCCTGCGGCTTCTGGGGGTGCCGCTGGTGTTGGAGGGGGTTCTCGCTCTGGGGGTGTTGGTTCTGGGGGTGCTGCTGTTGAGTGTTCTGCCGACGGTCGTTCTGCCTCTGCTGGTCCGAGAGTTCCGGCCCAGCCGTCGTCGCCGCCGCAGCAGCCGTCGCCGCCGGTTTCCGCTCTCCGCCTGCTCGGCCTTCCCTCCCCGGACCGCGCGCCGGTGTCTCCCCCACCGCCTCCTGACCTCCCTGTCTACGGTCCTGTGTTCCCGCCGCCAGACTCGTCTCCGGCCCGTCTTCCTCCTCGTTCCCCTCCTGTGTCTCCTCCGCTGTCCCCTGACCCTACCCCTCCGTCTCACGTTTGGGCTCGCCGTCCCTCCCGTGCTCGTCCCGTCTCTCCTGTCCTGCCCACCCACCCTATGTTGCTCCGTTCCCACTCGTCTCGTCCTCCCCTCCTCCCGTCCCCTCCTCCCTCGTCCCTTGCTGTTGCACCTCCTCCGTTCTCTGACTACCTCCGTGCTGCTCGTCCCCTTGTCCCTCGGGTCCTTGCCTCTCTTGTTACCGACCCTGCTGTTCCTGTCTCGCGCCTTGACGCGCTTGTCGCTGCTGTCGCTGACTTCGCTTCTACCCGCCGCCTTGACTACGCTACCGCTCTGGTCTCTGACCCTGCCCGTCCTCTGTCCGTCGGGGGTGCTCCTGCCCTTGGCAGTGACGTCCTAGAGGACAGGCAGTACGAGCTGGCTTTCCTTTCCGAGGCTGCTCCCCATCTCTGCTCCATGCTGTTAGTCCCTGAGGGTGACCCAGACGCCTTCGACATCCCGACCCCTCGCACCTACGCTGAGGCCACCTCGGGACCTTGGGCCTCTCAGTGGATAGCTGCCATGGAGCAGGAGATGGCATCTTGGAGATCCACCGGCACTTACGTCGACGCAGTTCCCCCGCCTGGGGTGAACGTAGTCGATGGTCGGTGGCTCTTCAAGGTGAAGCGCCCCCCTGGAGAGCCGCCTGTCTTCAAGGCGCGCTACGTGGCCAGAGGTTTCAGTCAGCGCGAGGGGGTTGACTTCTTCCAGACCTTCGCCCCGACCCCGAAGATGACCACTCTTCGGGCACTGCTACACGTAGCAGCACAGCGTGACTACGAGCTTCACTCTCTCGACTTCTCTACTGCCTTTCTTCAGGGCAGCCTACACGAGCAGGTCTACCTGCGCCGACCACAGGGCTTCACTGGTACCTTCCCTCCTGGGACCCAGTGGCTTCTCAGGCGCCCGGTCTACGGCCTGCGTCAGGCTCCCCGCGAGTGGCACGACACGCTACGTGCCACGTTAGCAGACCTGCAGTTCTTTCCGTCCTCTGCTGACCCTTCACTGTTTGTGCGTTCCGGCCAGACTCCGTTCTACATCCTTATCTACGTAGACGACCTGGTCTTCGCTACTCCTGACAGGGACGCACTGGCCTCTGTGAAGGCTGAGCTGCTGAAGAGACACACCTGCACTGACCTTGGAGAGCTGCGTCGCTATCTTGGCCTGCAGATCTCTAGGGACAGAGCAGCACGCACCATCACTCTGACCCAGTCACACTTGGTGCGTCAGGTCCTTCAGAGGTTCGGTCTTCAGTTCTCCTCCGCACAGCCCACACCTCTACCCGTAGACCATGGGCTCTCTGCTCCCGTTCCTGAGGAGCCAGTAGAGCCCAGTGGCCCCTACGTAGAGCTGGTGGGTTGCCTCATGTACCTGATGACTTGCACTCGCCCAGATCTCGCATACCCTCTCAGCATCCTGGCTCGCTTTGTGGCTACAGGCAGACACCGACCTCAGCACTGGTCTGCCGCTAAGAGGGTTTTGCGTTATCTTGCTAGTACATCAGGCATGGGGTTAGTGCTAGGAGGACGCAGGCCAGTGGTCCTTACTGGGCACACAGACGCTTCTTGGGCAGACGACGCTGAGACGCTCAGGTCGTCGCAGGGCTACTGTTTCAGCCTTGGTTCGGGTGCTATCTCTTGGAGATCCACTCGCTCGTCGTCTGTGGCTCAGTCTAGCTGTGAGGCTGAGATCTACGCTGGTGCCATGGCGGCACAGGAGCTCCGCTGGCTGACCTTCTTGCTCACAGACTTAGGTGAGCGGCCTAGCTCTGCCCCGGTCCTGTACGCTGACAACAGGGCCATGATACTCCTGTGTCAGGAGCCTCGGCTTGAGGGCAGAGCGAAGCATATCCAGCTGCGGTACTTCCTCCTGCGCGAGCTACAGCAGCGCCGCCAGGCCCGCGTAGTTCACTTCACTTGATATCTTTACTAAGGCGCTTGCGCCTAAAGATCATCAGCGGCACTGTGTACAGCTTGGTCTTGTTCCTGTAGCTGCTCCCCTGTTAGGATCCTGATTGTGTACTCTCTATTATATATGCTTGTCAGACTGGCCTTGTGGCCTTACCTCCAGTGGCTGGACTAGTAGTGCCACCCTGGCTTGCTTCAGTTTTGGTTGTATTCTTGCTGACTGGTCTCCAGACCCCTGCCTCAGTGGTTGGACTAGTAGTGCCGCCCTGAGCTGTTTGCTTCTTGTTTAGTTTCACCCCTTGTCTAGCCTAGGGGGTGTGTCAACTTATACATATTATCTATGTAGAAGTTATAGGCTAGACTGAGGTATGCTTCTAGTGAGTACAACCAACTAGTATTTGTTCTAGGTTTCCACCTCTAGTAATCATTCATTTCTACGTTAACAATATTATCTATGTAGAAGTTATAGGCTAGACTGAGGTATGCTTCTAGTGAGTACAACCAACTAGTATTTGTTCTAGGTTTCCACCTCTAGTAATCATTCGTTCTCACTTTGACAGCTTTGAATACCAAGTGTTATGAATGGGACTGCCGAGTAGCGCGGAGGGCAATGGCGAAACTGTGAACGAGTGAATGACAATAAAATGAAAGACAATACAATATATAGAAAGCCTAGGGTGATCCTGGACGTAGGATCGGAAGGTTCGGGAAAAGTGTCGAAGGGCCTCGATGTGTCGAAGCGAGGTCCGGAAAGGCCCAGGAGGCTCGAACTGATAGGTCTGGAACCCTGGCGATGGTTCGGGACTGTTCGAGTCGTACGCCCTGTAGCAAGCCTCAGTAAGGAATTACGCATTCCTTACACACAGCGATTCGATTGTTGCTTTGGTTACCATTCGCGCTGTTGTAACGGTCAGTCGCAACCTCCAAAACAAAGCAATGGATACGGCAGTCCGAATATGAACAGAGGCCCATTATTCACTAACCCGAACATACTATTTCCCAATCCAAATTCGCCCGAAATGGCTGACTTGCCAGAGTGCACCAAGCTTAGATCCTGGTGCCACTAAAAAATGCTTATTGAATGCTCGTTGGGCTGGCCAAGGTCCGTTCCTCCAAAGAACAAGGCTGCTACAAGGTCTTCGCGGCAGCACATCAGGAGCAGCACGCTGAGATGGGACCAAGTCGCGAGGACGAAGAACGCCCAACTGCTGAACCCACCCACATGCCGCTGCTGCTGCTGCTCACCCTGCTGCTGCTGCTGCTGCTGCCGCTCATCCTGCCGGTGCCACTGGCTGCACTGCTGCTGCCCGCACTGCTGCAGCTTTGCATGCTGTCTGCCCTACTGTCGTGTCTCATGCTTCTGGATCGCTGCAGCGCTCTGTAGTACCCCTGCCATGCTGCCGCCGCCGCGCCCCTTTGCCCTGCTGCATGGTCCTGCGCACTGCCTGCCGTGCTGCCCCGCGCTGCTATGCGCATGCTCGCTCCCCCCTCCACTGCCTCCCTCGCGCCCTGCCGTGCGCTATCCCATGACCCCGTCTCCCCCACCTGCCCTTCAGCCTCCGCATGCCCCAGGCCATGTGCGGGCCGCGCTCTTGCCATGCTCTGCCCGCTCGTGCGCTCGTGCGGTCGCATCATCTGCGGGCGCCTCTCCACCTCTGCTTCCCAAAAGCTCGTGTCCGTGCCCGCCATTGCTCTGAGTCGGCTCCCCTGCGCGCTAGTCTGTTCCGCGCCAGACTGAGCGTCACTCCAGCCGGAGCTGAGCGCGGGACCGCGCGGGGAGGGTGAGTAGGCGGGGCGCTCCGTGCCGCGAATGAACGTGGCGCTGCGCGACCGCTGCCCGTTGAAAACAGCTCCGGCGGAGTGCGGCGCGGCGGATGGCGGGAAAGAGGCAGGGCGGAGGGGGCCAGAAGCTGGCAGGGTGAGGCTGGCGGAGCCGGGTGTTGCGGGGCTGCACGGGCGGAAGGGAGAGGGCGGCGCGCGCAGGTGGTGGTCAGCAGCGGCGGCACTGGCGCAGCAGTGACGGCAATGCGCGGTGCAGCGGTGCTCCACTAGCGAGTACGTGCGGCCTGGCTCGAGGGGCGCGGCGGAGGTGACCAGGTGCAGCGTCATGGCGCAGCGCACGTCGTAGCCGGGGAACTCGCGGCGGAGGGCGGCGGCGGTGACCGCGTTGGGGTAGAGGCGCACGCCGCCGTCGGGGAGGAGCAGCAGCACGGAGGGCGTGTCGCGCGTCATCCAGCCGAAGAAGCGCCGCGACTCCCAGATGGACGGCAGCAAGCGACGACGCGGCGACGACGCTAGGGCTGACTCACAGTAGGCGTCACTGAGAGAGGACACGGGGGAAGCCATGATGGTGGGATTGTGGGAGGACCAAGAAGAAGGATCTGACGAGCAACGAATCGTTGAATTGATTTTTTTTGACAGCAACGAATTTGTTGGTTTTTGCCTGAGGGACATCCCCTGCCCTGCCTAAAATAGGGCTCGATGAAATGAGCATTCCAGTCGGACTGGTTCCCTCGACTCGACCCGACGAGTCAGCCCGTGCCTTTCCACGTCCTCACTCGCGATCTCTTGGTTTACCTGGAGAAGACAAGAAGCAGACCACCTCCACGTCACCAAAATGTGATGCTTGCCGTTCAACGAAGGTCTGTCGGAAAGGGCCGTTCATAGAGAAAGGCTTGGCTGTTCCGTGCACTTCTGTAACTTCCCGTTTATGGTACATTGCTCTACTTGAAAGATCTTGGTTAGGTCAGAATCCGCAACGCAGGTCATCAGAGATGGTGGAATGAAACGAACCTGCATCGCCATATGGGATTCCAGATACGCCCTTGGGAACGTCTGCCAAGCGTTTCTGAAAACAGAGGAAATCTGACGAACGCGCGAAGGTGAGCAGTGCAACGCAGCTTTTTGCTCCTCGCTGGCAGGCATCGTGGGGGGCGTCGGTGGGGCAGCGGGTGCGGGGAGGTGGCTGACATCAGCGACTCCCCCCGAGGAGTCTGATGAGGGTTTTTAGATTACCGGTAACCCTTACTAGCGTTTTACTCTTTGGGATCACGTTTAGCCCCTATTACGGAAGGGTTTCTCGCCGATCAAACCCCCCAGGGACAGTTTTTTGTTCTTCGAGGTTAGTTCTCTCCACAGCGAGCCACGTGTAACAATCTCCTTAATCTTGGGCAGAGGGCAGAAACAATAAAACCCTTATGGGCCTGGCATGGCATTCTGGATGGCATCAACCCTAAACTCGCAAAAGGGCCACGAATTTAGGGTTGATGCCCACCAGAATGGCATACTCGCCCCTATGGGTTTTAGTTTTTTTCTTGCCAGCTAGCCTGCCCGAATGTTGTCAGCCATTTTCAGTAGCACTACAGATCCCACAATATCGCAGGAAAACAGAGTTCAGTAGCCCCAAAGTGACGGAGCAAGGAGATTGTGACGCGTGGTTTTCTGTGGTGCGAACTAACCTCAAAGAACAAAAAACTGGCCCGGGAGGGCTGGAACAATGAGAAACCCTTCCGTGAAAGGGCTAAATGTTACTCAAAAGAGTAAAACTCCAGTAAGGGTTACCGCTAACCTAAAAACCCGTCTGATGATCGCAAGCGCGGTTCGTGTTGGAAGTTCCGCTGCACGCCACGTGTAGCGTTTTCGTCGAAGCAGGCCGTAGGCCACTGCTTTGCACCCACAGCAACGCAACCCCTTCGAGGAAAGTCAGCTGGCGTTACCTCCTTACTCGGCAAGCTCGGTTGATCATGATGTTACTACGTACAGTAGGTGTAGATCGTGCAAGGAAATCTAATTGCTTACTGGGTCAAGCACTATCGCACACTCATCCCCTCCCGCTTCTCCTCCGGTGGTTCGGCCTTAGGGAAGTACCCTTGTCTGAACTTTCACCGCACTGTACCACGCTGTTCTCTCACTGAAACACGCCTGGAACGTTCTGAACACGTTCTCGCTCTTCTGTATGTTCAGAAAGTTCGGACGCTAGGTTACATGCCCTTAGGCTCGGGGCCCGCAAGGCACTGGTTTGGGTGCCTCAAGTTCGCCCCGTTTGCCCCGAACTAGCCTCACGCTCACGCCGCTCCGTTCGAATAGGTTGCAAGTAAAACTATCCAGTCTTGCGGGGCTTTCCCTACCGCGTACGCTCAATGGGCTTGAGCTGTAGCAGGGTATATGCGCCTTGACGCAACGCGACCTGCAACGAGGGCCGCTCCATTAGAAAGTAGACCACAAGCAATGCGCGTGTTCACGCACCCCGCATCCCCTCGCCTCCGCCGACCCCAGGGCCATGGGGCTGGCGCTCCCACCCACGCGCCGCCCGCACCATTGTCGCCGGCGCCTCACCCGCTGCTCTCCGCGTCGCGCTCCCTCTCGTCGCCTGTGCCTCATCCTCGTGGCAGCATGCCTCGCTGTAAGCATGCCGCCTCGCTGTAAGCATGCCTCGCTGTAAGCATGCCTCGCTGTAAGCATGCCTCGCTGTAAGCATCTTTACCGGCCGCCCCCAGACAAGCCTGCGGTGGCTTCGCATTCCCGTTCGCCCGCATCCGCTCGTCGAACGAGTCTTTCCACCGACGCTCTTAGCGCCGCCGCCCTCCACCCCATGCCACGGCCTCGCATCCACGCCCTCCCTCCACCCCTCCCACGGCACTCACCCATCCCCCTCCGCGGCCCCTGCCTTCTCCGCCCGCAGGCGTGCAGCGCGGAGCAGCAGAGCGGGGCGTCGCAGCCGGGGGCGATGCTGGCGGGGTTCGAGTACCCGGAGCACGTGTGCGGGGCGGCGTGGCGCGACGAGTACGCGCGGCTGCACGCGCGCATTAGAGCCGCCAGCAGACACGCGTGGCAGGCGCGGCAGCGAGGCGCGCCACGCGACGAGGCGGGCAGAGCAGGTAGAGTGCGACGGGGATGGGCGGGACGTGGGGATGGTGGGAGCGATGCGCGCTAGCCACACGACTGCTGGAGCGACGACCGGAGGGACACACGCGTGGTTCAATTCAATGGACAGAATTCGGGAGGCACGGAGCAGCGGCGCACGGCGTTTCTGCATGTGTAGCTGCCGCTTCTCACTGCTCCTCCCTCTACCTCTCCCCCTCCTTCCACTGCAGATGCCCCTTCCAGTGCCCCATCACCATCACCGTCCCCAGCACCATCCCCATCCCCAGCACCTGCATCTGCACCTGCACCTGCATCCGAGGCAGCGGCACCCTCCGCCTCGTCCCCACCACCGCCTTCCGCTTTGCCCAGGCGCCTAGCGGGCTCTTCCCCCAATGAACCCCCTGATCCCCTAGAGCCCCCCGTGCGCTTCTTCACGTACGACTGGTACGGCACGTGCGGGGGGCTGGGTGATTATCTGATCGGGCTGGTATCGCTGTTCCCTGTGGCGCTGCTGGACCGCCGAGCGCTGCTCATCGCGCAGCCCTGCATGCACGCCGCCTTCCGCTCGCCGCACATCCACACCGCGCTCTCGCCCGACGTCCCCATGGGGCAGCCCCTCGTGCCGGGGCCCGCATGGGACGCGGAATGGGGGCAGCAGCAGGGTGGGGAAGGGGGGGGCGAGGAGGGCGAGGGGGGCGTGGTATGGCACGCGCCGGGGTGCGAGCGGCTGGAGAGCGACCTGAGTGCAGCGGTGCCGGACAGCAGCGCTGTGCCGTGCCTGAACCTGGTGCAGCAGAGCTTCGACATTGAGCAGATGCAGCGCTACAGCCACCTGGCCAACTACCGCGTGCGGCACAACCACGGGCTGCTCATCAACACGCTGCTCTTCGACCAAGGGCCCTGGGCGGACGCGCTGCGGCGGCTGGGGTTCAAAGTGGCGTACGGCTTCGGGTGCATCCTCCGCTTCCTCTTCAGGTGCCCTGCGTGCACCTGGCATGCTGCCTGAACCCATGTGGTCTGCACCGCACACACCTGAGTGCATGGATTCGGACTCACGCCACCAAAGTTTTCCCTCCCGTCGCTATCCAACCACATCCATCACTTGCCATCCACTCCCCCCACACACTTTCCATCACCCCCCTCCCTCCGTTCCCCTCCCCCCTCTCTCCCAGCCCGCGGGCCGAGGTGTGGCAGCTGGTGGCGGGGTTGGAGGAGCAGCTATGGGGCGAGGGCGTGGTGCGCGTGGGCATGCACGTGCGCGTGCCCGACCGCACGGTGTGGCACGCGGGGCAGGGCATCCCCATGGAGATGGGGCAGGCGCAGCTAGACCAGCTGCTCGAGGCTGCCAACGCCACGCTGCAGTGCGCTCAGGTGCTCATGGGGGGGGGAGAGTTTTGTTGGGGAGGGGATGGTTGATTGGGGAGCTGGGTTGCACCATGGGTAGGCGTGCTGGCGTGCAGGTGATGAGGGCAGCTGAAAGAGGTGGTGATGCGTCGGTTGTATGCTCGTGGCCATGGGCGCACATGGGGAGGTGGCTGGAACGTATTTGCGTTGAGAAGTTTGGGGATGCTTATGGGACCTGCATGTTCGCTACGTCTGTGTGCATGTGTGCGTGTTGTGCGCCAGGCGGTGGAGGACTTCTGGTACCCGCCTCCCCTGCGGGTCAAGTGGATCCTCCTCACCAACTCGCTGCCACTCAAGCAAGCTCTCAAGGCCAAGTACCCAGATAAGGCATGCACTCACTCACTCACTCACTTCAACTCACTGCCCCTCCCCTCATTGCATCCACCCATGCTTCTCCGTCGAAGCTGTCTTCCATTCATCCCTCACCATCACCTCCCGTCCCTTCACCGCACCGCTTGCATCCTCTCCCCCGCCATCGCGCCGCATCGACCTCCATTCGCCCCTGCCTGTCCTCCTCCCCACCCCCCGCAGGTGGTGATGACGGACTTCATCCCATGGCACTCGGACCGCGCCACCGCGGAGCATATAGACCCAACCACCTCCCCCGAGGAGGCGGAGGCGGCGGCACGCGGGGTGCATCGGTTCCGTGAGACGGTGGCAGAGTGGGCGCTGATGGCGGCGTGCCACTCGTTTGTCATCCCCGCGTCGGGCTTCTCCCGCACCGCCGCGCTCTACGCCCTGCGCCCGCTCGACATCTTCATGCCCCCGCCCGACGAATGCAACCCTGAAGCGCCCACCCCCATCGCCGCCCTCCGAGGCTCCTGGAGCGGAATATAGCCCTCGCAACGAGGACAGTGCAGCCCACTAATTGGTTGTGTGTCGCGCTGGGTATGGTGGTGCGCACTTAGGGTGTGAAGGAGCAAGTGGGGCATGCGAAGGGTTGTGGGAAAAAATCCTATCTCCCGCCATGTCTTTCCCTGTAGGTGGCTGCTAGAGGGTGGTGCTGGTGGGGGCACGAGACATGCCCCATGTCCATGACCCCATGGTAGCAATACATATGCAGCTGATGTGTGGGACAAGCAGCACCCACACCACTCCGGCAGGAGCACTGGCTTCACCTGTCTGCATGATGCTGCACTGAAACGGCAGGCCATGAGCAACATCAATGGAGGGAGGCATGCAGACAATATAGAAGCAAGCGTGAGAAAGCGACTGCTGAAACATATTGGATATCTCTTTCCTGCATGTCCATTCTGTCATTCTCATCCGGAATATAAATGACCAATGGGAGGAGCCTGTTTTTTCATTATTCATGCAAAAGTTTTCAAGCCAACTAATGAGGCATCCACAAGGCCATCAACCATAATCCCGTGTGGAGACCCGCCCATCTGCATCCTGCATGGCCGCCATCCCTGCCGCCACCAGCAGCGCACTCAGCTCCTCCTGCCGCTGCCTCCTGCGCTCCTCCCCCTCCCTCGCCTCCCGCCCGTGCCGTACTCTGAACGCCATCTCCTGCCACACCAGGTCCTCCGGCCCGCCCTCCCTGGGCGGGCTGCTGTAGAGAAAGCTCTCCCGGAACTGCCACAGGGCACGGCGCATAGGCATGGGCATGGGCATGGGCATGGGCATGGGCATGCGAATGGGCATGGGCATGCGCATGCGCATGGTGGGAGGGGGAAACGGCATTGGGTAGGAGAGTGGTTGGGGAGCTGGCTGGCGTGAGAAGTGAAGGGATACCCTATCAGGTCTCACATCGCATTGCAACGGCCATGAGGCGGCATGAGCCAGAGAGAGCTTTGGGCTGCCCGGCCACCTCACGGTTGAGGCAAGTAAAAGCCCAGTCAAAGTATCGCTACCAACACGTACCATATTACCCTCCGCACCTTGGCCCCCTCTTCTTCCCCCCACCCCACCGCCCCCCCCCTTCCACCCCTCCGTCCCACCTCATTGCTAGCCACCTCATTGCTAGCCACCTCATTGCTAGCCACCTCATTGCTAGCCACCTCATTGCTAGCCACCTCATTGCTAGCCACCTCATCTCATCCTTCCCCCACCCCTCACCTCCCTTCTCCCATCCCCCACCCTCCCTCCCTACCACCCAACGTCTCTCCTCTCTCCCCACCTCTCCCTAATCCCCTCCCCCCCACCTCTCCCGAATCCTTCCCCCCCCACCTCTCCTTAAACCCCATCCTTCTCCCCACCTCTCGGAGGCGGTACCACATGCGCATCCACTCGTGGCGCTTCACCACGCCCAGCGCCTCCAGCAGGTACCGCGCCCGCAGCGCCAGGCGCAGCGGCACGGCGCGCACCAACTGGGCGTAGGGTACGGAGGCTTCGAGGGGCAGCGCGGGGGCGGGCAAGGAGGAGGAGACGAGCAGCACGGGCACACAGCCGCTCATGATGGCGTCCACCAGCCCCACGGACGATGGCACCTCGCCTGATGTTGGGGGGGGGAGAGAGAGGGCGGAGGGCAGGAATGGGGAAGCGCGTGTGAGCATCAAACCCAGGCGGGGCACGGCATGAGGGAGAGAAGACACGCGGGCGCAGGGGAGGCAGAAGTTGCATGGGGGGGGTTGTAAGAGGCGCACAGAAAGACGAACTCTGAACACCAAATCCATCGACCTCGCAGCACCCCCCCCCCCCCCCTCTCCCCCCCACCTTCCCGAAGCAGGCGTCCCCTCACCTGGCAGCACAAGGCAGAACTTGGCAGTGCGCATGCCCTGCTCCGCGCGCGCCCGCTCCACCGCCACCTGCTCCTCCGTGCCCGCCTCGCCCCACACGCTCACGTCAAAGTCAATGCTGCCCGCCAGCACCGCCGCCAGGCGCACCCGCTCCGCACTCTGAGGGAGGCACGCGTGGGAGGCACAGGGAGGGAAAGGTGGGGGTGGGGAGCGCAGGGGAGAGGGGAGATGGGTACGGAGGGGAGAGGGGAGGGGAGAGGAGAGGGGAGAGGGGAGGGGAGAAAGGAGGGGAGAGAGGAGAGGAGAGAGGAGGGGAGAGTGGTGAGGGGAATGCCACAGGAAGGAGGAGAAACGAAACCTGGTGATTTGTGGCGTGGTTGGGAGGGATGGGTTCAGGTCCAAGGGCGGACCATGGTGAGTGGCACAACAGACGTGGCGGTGCCACAACGGCACAGTGGCACAATCAAATCATACAGGGGGAACAGTAAACAGGAAAGATAGCACATGCAGGAAAGATGGCGCATGCAGGAAAGATGCGCATGCAGGAAAGATGCGCATGCAGGAACGATGGCGCATGCAGAAAAGATGGCGCATGCAGGAATGGCATGCAAGGTTCATTGAAGCTGGGGTGGGCACTAGAAACAAACTATACTGCTACCACATTCTCTCTACCCACCTCGAATATACCCCCTTGTACTTACTCTGCCGCCCAGCGAATCTAGTCTCTGCCTCTCCTCGTGTCACCTGCCACCGCCCTCCTCAATCAGCCGTCGCATGGCGCACCAATGGGTACCCACACGCATTTACGCACCACTATCCACACCCTGTCTACCCTAGCCGCCCTACCTCACAACTGGCTTAGCCCCTATGCGAGCACCCGTGTGCCTACTTCTAAAGGACCCTCCATAGGTGGTGCTTGCACGCAGGGGGCGAGCGGGTTGGCAAGGGGCTGAATGCCCGTGCTTTAGCTTGCCCTTTCCACTCTCCCTTCCCCTCCATCTCTCCTTCTTCCCTCTATCTCTTTCTCTCCCGTCTTTTGAGTCGACTCAAAAAGCACCCCCACCACCTCACCTCCCCCCCTGCACACATCACCCGCCCCCTTGCTGCCTCACCTACCCCCAGCGCGTGTCACCTGTGGCGGGCCGTGGAAGAAGGCGAGGGTGGGGCGCTGCGCCCACTCCCCCGAGTCGACCAGCAGGGGCGGCACCACGGACGCCAGGGGCACCACCACGTCCTTGCCCAGGCTCACTGCCTGGCAGGGCGGAAGGGGGGGGGGAGGAGGACAAGAAGCGGAGGGAGGGGGGAAAGAGTGGGAGGGAGGGGCGCAAGAGGGGGAGGGGCAGTGAGTGGAGAGAGCAGGTTGTGAACCTCGCTGCAGGAGTAAACCCGTCCAAACTGGTGAAGCCTCTCACGAACAGCTGCTGCTAGCTGGACACCTTTCACATGCGGAATATCACCTCTTTCCCCCAACCTCTCCCTCCTCTCACCTGCGGGCTGGTGTGGCTGATATCAGTGAGCATGAAGTGCGCGGCTGCCAGTTGCACCTTCAGGGGCGCCAGTGCGTGTGGGTGCATGGCGGGCAGCAGCAGCGGCAGCGGGGCGCGCGGGGGCTGGTGCTGCTGCAGCAGAGAGGCGACGGAGGAGAGCAGGGAGGAGAGGAGGGCGGGGGGAGTGCGCAGGGAGAGGTGGCGCAGACACAGAGGATCAGATGCGTTGGGGGGCGCGCTGGAGAGGGAGGGGGGGGGGGGAGGAGGAGGGGGGTAACGCAGGGGGGCAGGGTGCGAGTGGGGGGAAATGGTGAGAAGGAATGAGCGATGTGAGGCCAGGTCAGTAGGAGAGTGGGGGAGGGCAGACGAGGGATGGGAAGGTGGGGAAGGGGGAAGGGGGGGAAAGGGGAAAGGGGGGGGGGGGGGGATGGACCCCAGGGAGCAGGGAGCAAGGGTGGTGAGGGGAAGGTGCGGCAGTCGCGGGGAGGAGAAAGAGCACCGGGGAGGAGAAAGAGCACCGGGGAGGAGAAAGAGCACCGGGGAGGAGAAAGAGCACCGGGGAGGAGAAAGAGCACCGGGGAGGAGAAAGAGCACCGGGGAGGAGAAAGAGCACTGGGGAGGAGAAAGAGCACCGGGGAGGAGAAAGAGCACCGGGGAGGAGAAAGAGCACCGGGGAGGAGAAAGAGCACCGGGGAGGAGAAAGAGCACCGGGGAGGAGAAAGAGCACCGGGGAGGAGAAAGAGCACCGGGGAGGAGAAAGAGCACCGGGGAGGAGAAAGAGCACCGGGGACGATGCGGCGCAGCGAGGTGTGGTGCTTGCGTGGGGTGGCGTTTCGGGGAAGCGAGAGGGGTGAGGGAGAGCAGGGAGATGTGATGAGGAGGGAGGGAAAGGGGAGGTAAGAGAAAACGTGAGGAGCGCAGCAGATACGGTGAGCAGCATGGTCGAGGAGAGGTGGACGGCTCGCACTGTATGAGTTTTGAAGGAAGGGGGGAAAGAGAGAGAGAGATAGAGAACAGGTGCAGCAACATGAACAGCACCATTTCATGGAAACTGTCACTCACATGCACTTCTCCTCATCCTCACAATTCCCCCCCTCTTCCCCCTCACCCCCCCCGCAACCCCCCCCACACCCCTCTTCACACCCCCCCACAACCCCCACACACCCCCTCCACAACCCCCACACACCCCCTCCACAACCCCCACACACCCCCTCCACAACCCCCACACACCCCCCTGCACTCCCCCCCTCCCACGGCCAACCCACCTTCTGAAGAGCAGCAGCGAGGAGAAGAGCGGCAGGAAGAGCGCGTCGGCCTGCGAGGGGTGTGCCACCACACGCACCGACGGCAGTCCTGGCAGCACGGGGGGGGAGAGGGGGGGGGCAGTGTGGGGCGAGTTGGAGAAAGGATGCTGATGCTCCAGGGAAGGGGAGACGGAAGAGCAGAGGAGCATCGGGCTGAGAAAGGGTTGTGAGGAGAGCGGCAGTGGAGGGCGCAGGGGAGTGGGGTGTGGTGGGCAGGTGGAGGGATGTGAGGGGGGGGAGATGAGCTGGAGGGGAGTTGCCAGAGTCTGAGCGGGTAGGCAGGCGCTGGTCGGGGCCGCGGACGGGGAGGAGAGACGGGGGAAGGGGAAGGGGGAGGGGGGGGGGCAAGAGCATGCGTGACTACCTGTGAAGAGCGAGAGTGCGAGCCAGTACTCGGCGCTGTACGCATACACATGCGGCTGCGCGTCATACGCCGCCACCTGCACCGTCACCATCTCCCCATCCTCCTCCTCCTCCCCCTCCGCCGCTCCCTCGTTGCTCCTGCTCGCCCCCCCCTGCGATTCGCCCCGCGCCACTCCCTCTGGAGCCACGGCACCAAGAGTGGGCGGGGTAGCAGAGAGAGCAGCGGGGGCAGGGGCGGGAGTGGTCGCGCGGGTGCGGGCCGGAGAGGGCGGGAGCGCGATGGAGCTGCCCGTGACGTGGTTCCAGATGGGCACCAGGCGCGCGGGGATGGCCAGGGAGAGCGACGCGGACGACTGGCAGGGGGGCGAGAGGGGAGGGGGGCGAGGGAAAGCAGGCGGAAGACGGTTGGGGGGTGGGGAGAGAGGGCGCGCATGGATGAGGCGAGGAGAGAGCGGCGTCCGCGACATGCATGGGATGGCGACGGCACAGCCGCAATGTGGGGCTGCTCGCGTGTGGCAGGTTGAATCCCAGCGCGCGCACGGGCTGGACGGCCCCTGGTGGGCCTCCCACTGCCGCTGCCACCACGCGTCGAACCAGTCGTCCACCCGCCCCGTGCGCGCCAGCCTCGGAAATGGGACCACTGTCCTGCAATATGCAACCCGACGCGCGCTATCACCACCAACGCATTTCTGATCGGCGCTCACGTTGAGCAGGCCGAAGCTCATGGCGGGGTCCAGCGGCAGAACGAACACGCGCAGCACCTTCACGTGCCGCGCCCTCCGCGCCGTCGCGCCGGGCTCAGTCAGCGCGCCTCGGGAATGCGGCACGACCGTCAGCCGGACCGCGATGTACGCCAGGAGCAGCAGCGGCAGCGCCGCGATGCTGAGCGTGCGGCGGAACGACGCTGCATGGCGGCGCGCCAGGGACGAGGCGGCTGCGGGCCATCCGCGCGACGATTGTGACAACGGCTGCGACTCGGCGAGCGACGAGGAGGGCCGCGCGCGAAGCATGGCGGGGGGGGGACGAGTGGCGTTTGGCTAGTCGGGCACGGTGGGAGCCATAGCAGGTGTGGTGGGAGTGACGAGCGCAGTGGGAGTGGCATGAGATGCAGGCAGTGCAGGGGCGAATGTGCTGTCATGCGCCCATGCACAGCCATGGAGGGACTCGCTGAGAGCAGGCATGATAGGCATACAGGGAAACAACTGTACGGAAGCCATTTTGTAATCACGGTACTCTGTGCCTTCCTGTGATAACTAACTCTGCTACTGGTGCACACAGGGCTTGCACTTGCACAGCTGGAGCAGCACATTTGAGTAGTCGCATTGCCATGCCTGTCCGAAAGCTGAACCACCGCATCTTGATTCTCCACTGGAGTGGGATGGGCACACAACAGCAGCAGCAGAGGAGCGTGAAAGTGGTTCATGGCACTGCGGCCGCTCTCCGACCCATCGACGCTTCAGCCACCGCTATTCAGCAGCAAGCCGTACATGGGCCCTTGGAGCTGCCGCACTGCCCGTTATCGCTGCACGTCATGGATGCCCTGCTGTGCCACCGCCATAGCTCGCCGCAGCAGCCTCTTGTACCCCACGCGCCACATCACAGCCAGCACCTCCTTATGCTCATCCTCCTCCTCTGCCACCGTCCTGCCCCCTCTCCCACCCACACCACAGCTGCCCCCCTCTTCTTCCTTCCCCTGCCCATCCAAGCACCCACCACCACCACGTGCACCCCCCTCTCTCATACCCTCCCCTTCAACCCCTTCCATCCTCCCCTCCCCATGCTCCCCTGTGCCCCCCTGCCCAACCCCTCGCACGCCCCTCATGCCCCTGAGCAGCGCCTCATCCTCCTGCAGGCTCGTGGGCAGCGCCTGCAGCAGCCGCTCGCATTCGCCGCGCACCCACCGCCACACCGCCGCCTCGCCCTCCGCCGACACCGGCGCACCGCCCAGCGCCACGTGGCGCACCTTACGGCGCAGGCGGTAGGGTGTGGTCCACACGCGCAGCAGCGCGCGCAGCAGGAACGACGGCGACCCGTCCGCCTCGATGCACAGGGGGGGAGGCCCGGCGTGGGGGGAGGAGCGGCAGGGGGAAGGGTCGGGGAGGGGGATGCCAAGTAGGTGGGGGTCGCAGGGCGGGTGGATGGGGATGCAGTCGTCGGGGTTGGCGGGCAGCAGGAAGCCGTAGTGCTGCAGCAGGTGCAGGTTGCTGTACACGCCGTAGCAGATGACCACCTGGCGGAAGGGGGGGGGGGTGGGGGGCGAGTGGGCGGAGGGGGGATGGGCGCATAAGAGGGAGATGGGGTGTGGAGCAGGATGAGGCAGGCAAGGGGACAAGAATGGTGGTGGGGAGTTGCAGTGGAGGTCGCATGATGCAAGTGCAGCATAATGAGGGGCTAAGTGCCATCTCCCCCTACAGACGCCACCACAGCACAGCACACACACACACGGCAGGTGCAATCCATGCAAGTCCCCTGCCCCCCCTCTCACCTGCTCGCCCGCCTCAAATCGTCTGCGCGCAAAGATGTGGTATGCCTGGGCTTCCTCGCTGTACCCACCGTCTGTCACACGATCACAGCCGTCTGTGACACTATTACAGCCATCTGTTGCATGATCACAGCCGTCTGTTGCGCGATCACAGCCGTCTGTGACATAATTGTGTGTGCTGTGTACAGCGGCACAAGAGGTGGCAGTGGTGCACGCACAAGATTGCGGTGCAGGGATGCCATGATGATGATCCAGAGGCACACAGGGAGCGACAGAGGTGCAGTGGGGAGAGCAGGAGTTCCTGGAGTGAGTGTCATCCAGAGGCACACAGGGCGGGTCAGAGGTGCAGCGAGGAGAGCAGGACTTCCTGGTGTGAGTGTTAGCTGATGTGTTCCCCCAGCACACTGGCTCTGAAGCTTCAAATGACACTACATCTGCTCTTGTGCTGGCATCTGTGTGTGCTGTGCTGGCATCTGTGTGTGCTGTGCTGGCATCTGTGTGTGCTGTGCTGGCATCTGTGTGTGCTGTGCTGGCATGCACATCCCCAGCCATGTGAGTACAACCAGGAAGAGCAGCTGATGGGAGTGGTGGTGCTGCTGCTGCTGCGTCAGTCAGGACACCAGCACACGCAGCATCAGCAGAGGCAGGAGCCACAGCAGGGGCAGCAGGAGCGGCAGCAGGGGCAGCAGCAGCACAGGTGGGAGCGGCAGCAGCAGGGGTGAGCGGTTCGAAGTTGAGGAGGTCAGCCACAGGGCAGAGGGCGCCCGCTGCATCCCACGGCACGTACAGCGTGCGCGATGACACCTGGGGGAGAGGGGGGGGGGGGGGGTGGCAGAGAGCAGCGAAATGGGGGATGGAATGGAGAGGTGGCAGATAGAGGGGATTGACGCTACTCAAAACGAGGGGTACACATTGGTGGGGTGTGGCTGCTGACGCCAGCATAAAGGGGCGCGCACAGCAGCAGAGGGAGGAGAGATGGTGAGGTGTGATGGTAGTGCGAGGCGGCAACAGGTAGGAGGGGTGGGTAGCATGCAGAGAGCACAGAAGCACATGCTGTGCTAGTGGAACCACCCCACATGAGAGCACAGGGGAGTGCCGCGACAACCACGTGGAGCATGCCCCTTGCAGCGCAGCACAAGCCAAGTGCATAACACCCCTCACACTGCCATGCCATGGCCTCCCTCCCCTCATGCCCCATGCTCCAACCCCCGTTCCTTGCCCCACCCACCGTGCAGTGCCCCACCCACCGTGCAGTGGCCCACCCACCGTGCAGTGGCCCCAGGACCACGCGCCCCACGAGAGCCACTTGCCCCCCACCTCCATGCCCCGCAGCAGCGCCCTCGCCTCCCGCCACTCGCCCCTCACCGCCGCCACCGCTGCCTCCGCCTCCGCCACTGCCTCTGGCACCTGGGGACACAAGGGGCGCGGGGGGGAGGGAGAAGGGCGGGGGGGGTGGGAGCCGGGGGAGACGAGGTGAGGAAGGAGGGAAGAGGGAGGGATGTGAGTGAAGGAGGGTGAAGAGGAAGTTGGGGGGCAGCGGACATGGCTAAGGGAAACGGCCGTGTGTGTGGTGCAGGTGTGCAAATGGAGAAGGGCGGCATGGGCAAGAACACACAGCATTCAAGCTCTCTGGCACCGGCTTGCCGCACATGGAACCCCACCCGCAGCACATGGAATCCCACCCGCAGCACATGGAATCCCACCCGCAGCACATGGAATCCCACCCGCAGCACATGGAACCCCACCCGCAGCACATGGAATCCCACCCGCAGCACATGGAATCCCACCCGCAGCACATGGAATCCCACCCGCAGCACATGGAACCCCACCCGCAGCACATGGCACCCCACCCACAGCACATGGCACCCCACCCGCAGCACGTGGCACCCCACCCGCAGCACATGGCACCCCACCTGCAGCATGGCGATGTGGCTTGGCTTGAAGCGCGCGAGCAGCGTGTAGGAGGAGGGCAGCGAGCGCAGGTACACATGCCACGGCGAGGCCCGCCCCAGGGACGCCTGCACGAGCACGTAGCACACCAGCAGCTGGGGAAGGGGGGGTGGGGGAGGGCGTAGGAGGAAGTGGGGACAGTGAGAGTGAAGGGGGGAGGCATGGTGCGCTTTCTGTGGGGCGGCAGGCGTTACCGGGTGCGAGGACAGGCGTTACCTGATGGGACGACAGGTGGGGGAATGCTGGCAGCAGCGGTGCCATGGCGGGGCACGCTCTGGCCTCGGCGCATGAGAGCATGGCGCGCCGTGGCACGCGCAGCACCAGCTGCCCCCGCGCTATGGCGCGCACTGCCGCCAGCCCGCGACTGGCGGAGGGGACAGAGGGGAAGGGCGGGGGTGGCAAGGGCATAGGCGGGGGGAACACGGCAGTGGTAGGGGGGCAGGGATGGGAGGGAGCGAGGAAGCTGGAGGGAGAAGAGGGAGGAGATAGTTGGTAAGAGGGCGACAGCTTGTGTTACGTGGGGGAGATGGAACGGGGCAAGGTGAGCGACAGCGAAGCAGAGGCGGGCGAAATGCAGGCGCGCGACGACGACTGCTCATCGTCCCCCGCTCCCTACTCGGAGTGCCCCCCATACACTTCGTGCCCTGCGCTCCATCCGCCCCTCGCCACTACCGCCTTCCCAGCGTGACCCGCTCTCCACACATCGGCGCGCTGCACGTTGAGAAGCGCGGCCTGGGAGCAACAGCGAAGAGCGCGCGTACCCTCCGCCGTCGGTGAAGTGCGCCACGCGCAGAGTTCCCCCCAGGCATGACCGAGTGCCGCTGTCCTCTCCGCACTCGCCAGCATCGGCGGAAGAGTTCCCCCGCTCGTCCCCGCCAGTGCAGCTGTCAGTGATGCCGCGCTCTGCCGCCCAGCGGAGCAGGTCGCGGAGGTCAGCGGAGAGCGCGGAGGGATCGGCGGCGACGAGGGGCGATGCGTGGTGGCGGGGGAGTGCAGCGGGCGACATGGCGCGAGGCGGCGGCTGGTTGAGTGCGCCAGGTGGGATGTCACAAATGTTGAAAGAGGGTTACCAGCACTCTACACGCTACAGTTCCGATTTCCCGGATGTCCGAAGTAGGGCTCCCGAAACCCCATAGTCGAACTTGACGTCACACTGTGTTGTTTCAACAATTTAGCGGGCAGCCTCGAAATTATGCCACAGAACCCGTACGACACCCACCGAACCAACGAAACTGTTAGCGAATCTCCTGCTGGTCGTTGGGAAAGGTTCGCCAGAAAATGGGTTGCTGAGTTTGTGCTGACTTGGTGACACTTGGCGCCTGCCTTGTGAAGTCCATTTGCGATATTTTGGGTTTTTAGATTAACGGTAACCCTTACTGGCGTTTTAATAACAGAGGTACCATATAGCTCTATTACAGAAGGACTTTTCACCGTTCCAACCCCCGAGGGGCACTTTTTTGTTCTTTGAGATTAGTCCGCTCCACAGCAAACCACGCGTCACAATCTCGTTGCTCCGTCACTGTAGCTTTTACTTGGCAAATTCGCCACACCCCTCCTTGACTTTTTTTTTTTTCCGAAGCCATCCAGGAAGATAAGTGGCTTACAGAGAATTGTTACAGCTGAACTGTTGCACCACATCTTCCCGCTGTAAGGAATTTTATTCCTTACCGGGTTGTACTGTGTTGGGCTGAGAAGAGCCCTTTGGATCTTTCCAGAGACTAAGTCCCAGTTGAAGAATGAGACTTGAGTAGTGCAGCGGAAGTTGAGTAGTTGAACCCTTGTACTAGTATATGAGAACAAGTGATTGATTAAAGAAACAAGCATACAGCAATATATAGAAAATAGAAAAGTAAAGCAGTTGTAGAATACAGTTGCAGGAGCGGTTTATCGAGTCGCACAGCGACTCGATTGTCGCTTCGGTTACCATTCGTGCAGTTGTAACGGTCAGTCGCAACCTCCAGTTGCGACCCTTTGAGTCCCTTTGCGTTCTTTGTCCATCCCCTCGTGTAACCTCCGTTGACTCGCGTACCCGTTGCGATCTTTCTCGAGTGTAGTGTTACACTTCAGAAACGCTTAAGTCCTTTGAGGTATTTCCAACACTCCCCTTCGTTTCTGGAGTACTGACGTGTTCAGGTCCGGTGACGTTTGTCTGCCCGGTCAGCAGCGTGCAGTAATCGAATTTTGCCTTCGCCAATTTCTTCGTCAGATAGTCTGCGGCCATTTCTGTCGTAGGGCAGTAACTGAGTTGAAGTCTCCCCTTCGCGATTTCATCCTTGACGAAGAAGTACCGCATGACGATGTGCTTGGTTCGGTTGGCGAAGCCGTCCTTGTTCGCGATTTTGATCGCAGATTGGTTGTCGCAGAGGAGTGAGAAGACGGGCAGGGTCGCAATCTTCGCTTCCTCGAGTAACTCTCGTAGGTAGAGTCCTTCCTTGGTCGCAGTACAGAGGGCGATATATTCTGCTTCAGCCGAAGATAGTGCGATTAGTTCCTGCTTGCTCGACTGCCAGGAGATAGTCCCGATAGGTTCTAGTCGGTAGATGTAGCCCGTTCTCGATCGTCGATTTCCCTTCTCTCCCGCGTGGTCGGCGTCGACGTATCCGAGTAGTTGTACGGATGATGCCGTTACTTTACTGTAGGTAAGCCCGGTCGTCGGCGTGGAGACGAAGTAGAGTAGTGCCCGATTAAGTTCCTCGAGATCTTCTTGTTCCGGCTACTTCAGATGCGTCGCCAGTTGGCTCGCACTATAAGATAGATCGGGTCCGCAGGTTACTGTTACGAATAGTAGGCAGCCGAGCTTCTGCTGATACTCCTGGATTTGCTTCGCGGGGAGTTTTGCGGAGGTGTTGCTGTTGTTCCCGTAGCGATAGGGAGTCGGGACCGTAGTCGGCGTTAGACCGAATTTCTTCGCGACAGTGCCTGCGTATTTTCCAGCGTATAGGTAGAACGCCGAGTTGTCTAAGACGACATTCAGTCCCAGGTACTGGGTCACTGTGTCGGACACTGTGAGTGTCAAGTCCCCTTTCAGCTCCCCTTCGAACCAGGTGGCGATGTCGGTAGTGGAACCGATGTAGAGCAGATCGTCGACGTAAACGATGAGTAGGATATACTCTCTTCCCTTCTGCAGTCGGTACATGCCTTGGTCATGTGGCAGCTGTAGGAATCCGATTTTTATGAGGCGACCGTGAAGATGCTGCTGCCATAGCCGCGGGGCTTGCTTGATCCCGTAAAGGGATTTTATCAGTTGGCATACTTTTGTGGGGTCGTCGATGAATCCGTGGGGTTGCTCGACAAAGATCTCAGCGTCCACAGGTGCGTACAGGAAAGCATTTGCGACGTCGATTTAGCGCAGTAATAGTTTCTTCGTGGCCGCGACGGCGAGTAGGATGCGCAAGGAGGTGTGACGGGAGACTGGGGCGAATGTTTCTGTGTAGTCGGTTCCGTATCGTTGATCGAACCCTCGTACGACCCATCGAGCCTTGAATCATTCGATGGAACCGTCCGCATTGGTCTTGATGCGGTACACCCACTTTCCCGAGAGGACGTTCTTCCCGTTGATGCTTGTTGCAGGTACCAGCTTCCATGTATTTCGGTCTTGCAGAGCCTTTAGTTCCTTTTCCATCGCCTCCTTCCATTTCGCCTTATGTTCCCCCCCCAGAGCCTATGATAGAGTCGTGGGCTCGCGTGGAGATGGCGGCGGTGGATGCTGGACGGAGACCCATAAGCCGAGAATTTGCAGTCCCGTGGGTGTGTGTCGAGGGGAATTTTCATTCCCGGAATAGGCTGCTTCGTCACCATCTTCTGGATCAGGTAAGAAGTTTGGGCCGATGCGTTCTGCGATGGGTGGGGTCGGTGGGGTCTTCTGTGTTGGCGACGTTGTCCAGGTAATGTTGCAGCGTCAGTCGTTCGTAGAAGATCACATCACGTGATGCCACGGTATTTTTGTCTTGTATGTCGAGGATTTTCCATGCTTGAAAATGTTGTGCGATGCCGAGGTGTAGTTCCCATTGTGCTCGTTGAGTGAAACGTCCTGCTCTGGCTGTGTGGGGTCTGTACTGTACCATGCAACCGAAAACCCGAAGCAATTTTGTGCTGCCCCTTTTTCGTGTCCACAGCAGGTGCGGTGATGCGTTGTTGGGGAGCGATGACGAGGATAGCAAATTGTGCAGGTGGACTGCATGGGTCATCGCGTCTGGCCACAGTGCGTTGGGCAGTCTCATCCCCAGGAGCAGCTTCCGCATCGTCGTTTGCAAGGTCCGGTTCATTCTTTCTGCGACCCCCTGTTGCTGGTGAGCGTAGGGTAGAGACACCAAGCGTCTGATTCCTTTTTCCGCCAAGTAGGTCCTGAATCGTTGTGACTGGTATTCTAGTGCGCCGTCGGATTGGAAACTCTTGAGCGTAGTTCCTGATTCTCGTTCAGCGATGGGGAGCCACGTCGTGAAGGCTTCGAAGGCTTGATCTCGCGTCTTGAGGTTGTAGTGCCAAACATATCTTGTTGCTGCATCGATAAAAGTGATGACGTAGTTGAAGTCGGCTTCCGTGTCGTCTCGAGGCATGTTTAAGATGTCGCTGTAAACCTTTTCCATCGGTGCATATGCAGGCGCACTTAGATTGTGATGTGATGGGAAGGGTTGATGGGGAAGATCTGCTTCGGGGCACGTGAAGCACCGTGCGCGAGGTCTTCGAAGTTCTTGACCGCTTGTTGTAAGAAGAGCGTTTCGTTCTAATACTTCGGCTTGGATTGTTTGTAGTACGGTGCTGTTTGCAGGATGTCCAAGGCGTTGGTGCCAGATGTCGTCGGAAGCTCGATGGCCGGGCGAGCGTTGGTACGTGTCGGTGTTGGAGAAGAACGCGACGACCGTGGCGCGACTTCGGCAGACTTCTCGTGTGATGGGCATAAGTTGATCTGCTTCAGTTGGCGGTCCTCGGATCGCTGGTGGTGGTACTTCGCTGGGTCCTGCTGCTGCTACTGCAGGTGATGGTTAGGAAGGGACACTTGCTGGTACTTGTCTTTCTTGTCTGATGACTGCTAATGCTCATGTTCTCTCTGCTGCAGGTATGGTGTTGGAGTACCAGAATCCATCGGGGTTGAAGTCGTGATCAAGATCCGGCGGGTGTGTCCAGGCGGCGAACGACACAATCCCATCGCTGTCGGCAGTACCGCGGTCGGGGACGAAGTCCAACACGAAGACGCCGGACATCAGGAGAGCACGACCGATGAAGAGGCCGCCCTTCCTGTGGTAAAGGCGAAACTCGTTGGAGTCCGAGTCGCACTCCAGGTGAATCCCTTTTGCCATTAGCTGGCTGACACTTAGCAGATTGTATCCCAAGTTGTCAACGATTAAGACCTTGTTGAGTTGAAGGATGACATTAGTTTCCATGGACTGTAACTGAACCACCCCTTGTCTGTTTGTTTTCAGGTTCTCGTTGTTGGCGACGGTGATAATGACGTCGTGCTTGAGGCGTCGCTCTCGTTGCACGAAGCGTCCGGAAGAACACATGTGTTGACCGCAACAGCTGTCCAAGAACCAGGTGTTTCGCCCGGTGGGTTCGGCGTTGGCGACCGCAGGGTATGTCGGGTTGACCTGAAGTCCTTGTGAGCGCGGCGGCGGGAATTCTTCTTCGTCTGGCGCGTAAGTGGGTGGTGATCCGGGTGCACAGTTGTCGATGTGTACCATGCAGTTCATGATGTTCGGTGTCCCTTGTGCAGATGTGTAAGAACGTCTTGGAGGGCTTTCTTGAGTGGAGGCGACTTGTGGGTCTACTGGACGATAGACACGAGGACGTGTGCAGTTGACTTTGGAATGTCTGGATGTTTGACAGTTATGGCAGAACGGCGGCACGATGGTGAGTCCTCTGTTGTCGCGTTGATCTTGCTTGCCGAGTCGATTGTAGTTGTTGTCGTTCCTTCGTTGAGTGTAGAAAACTAACTGCTGCTGCTTTCTTGGTTGTCTTTCTTCGAACAGGTCCATCTCCTGTTGTTCAGCATGAAGCTCGGCACAGAGGTGCATCTCCGAGATCCTTCCGTGGGCGCGAAGAAGCGAGCGTGTGGTTCTCCATTCTGGCCCGAGCCCAGCGAGGACAAGCGTCACGAAGCTTTCTTCAGTGATTGTTCCTCCGCACCGAAGCAGGCGGTCGCGGAGTGTTTGGCATCGACTCATATACTGCATCGCCTTTTCCCCGGTCTTCATCTGTATTGTTGTCAGCTGTTGCATGAGTCTGCTTTGTGTCACGCTGTGGTTGTGAGAATAGAGGCATCCGCACCTTCCTTCCTCAACTATGATGGGGTAGGTGGCCATGGTTGTACTCAAACAGCATGATGAGTGCAGCTGATAATTTAGTAACGGGAAGCTGAGCAACCATGTTTCTAGCCCTTATACTGATGTGTACATCCAATCCCATTCCATTCCTTCTTACCACCCAGACACTCAAATATGCAGATGCCAGCTGCTTACAGAATGGAGTGAACCACGCCGTTCTGGTGGTGGGATTTGGTGTGGGGGGTAACATGTCCAGCCCCTTCAGCCTGCCGGCGCCACTCTGGGTCATCCGCAACTCGTGGGGCAGCGAATGGGGGGCTGCGGGGCACATGTTCATGGACATGCAGAGCGGCTCTGGCATCTGCGGCATCAACACACTGCCTGGCATTTTTCCGGTTGTTAGGGGTACGCTCTTGTCTCCACGGCCAGCCTTTCCTTTCTCTGCTGTTATGCGTGAGACACAGAGTGCAGAGACGACATATAGGTGTCGTTAGTATGAACCCCAGTTCTTTTTGTAACGAAATATAAACTGGTGTGGACGAATGGTGCGGAGAGAGTATAGGCCATACTCTACCAAGGAAGGTCGCACAAACTCTGCCCTGTCATGCCCCATAGTACCGTTTCTTCTGTGCTACTGGTCTCATGTCTGTGTGATGCGTGGTGTGTCCCTGGCAGCTGCTGCTGACCCGTGTGGCAGCAAGTCTGTGAAGCTGGCAGCATCAGCGGGAGTGGCATCAAGCAACGCGCTCAACCCGTGTGGGCAGTTCAAGTGCTCCAAGGCCGGATCATCCAATCGCTGTGCCTGTGCTTCTACCCACTTTGTGGAGGCCTCTCACCCCGACGGCTCAAAAACATGCGCCTATGGTGAGCCCATCCCATGCGTCCATCACGCTACATCTCCCTCCGTTATCATAGTCCCTTCCCCACTAACGCCTTCTCTCCACCTCTGCCCTGCATGCCCCTACCAGTGGACGCCTGTGGGCTGGCAGGCAGCAACCCGTGTGTGGTGGGCACGTGTGTGAACGATGGCAGGGGCAGCTACTCCTGTGTGTGTCCCCCGGGGTTCATCCAAGGCACCACTGCGACGGGAACCCTCTCCTGCGCTCCCGGTACTCTTACCTCTCCCCTCTCTTCCTTTTGCCCGACCGCACCTCCTCACTGGTGAATCTGTGGGGAATGTTTATGTGGCAACATGAGGGACAATGTGGTAGGGTATGCACCAAACAGAATGAAGCAGAAAACACATAGGTTTGGTAATAGACATAGAATATGGAAATCAACTATTGGTGTTGGTACTACTAACCAGCGGTTTGGTGTTTACGCATCAGCACTCTCTAGAAATTTAGTTATTCCTGCGTTTGGCACCTAGTGTCTAACCATGTGTTTGGGTTTCAAGAGATAGTAGTATGCTCCGCACTGGCCGCAAGTCTGGTAAATCTTTACAGATTTGTTGGCTGACCATAAGTTCGGTCCTTGGTGTAGTTCAGTCTTCGGCATGATACCCTGGCCAAGGATACTAACTTTGCGCCTGCTTTGGTGATGTTTGCAGGTGACAGCAAGGGCAGCTACACGGTACTTGGCAGCAATGTGCGGTGCTTTCACTTGCTGCCTGTACTTGGCCTCACGCTGGACCAACTCAAGCAGCAGAACAAGGTCAGCATTCTTCCGTCTTTCTGCCTCTTCGTCACATTTTGATCATGGTATCTCATGTCAAGTCACTAGCGCTCTTTCTCCCTCATGCCTGCAGAAGCTTTCCTGCACCAAGCCCATCCCAGTGAACTCCAAGCTGATTGTGAAGCTTCCTGTGCCCCTTCCCACCTGCTCTCTCTACTATACCATGCAACCTGTGAGTGTGCCCACCCCGGTCCCCACTGCAACAAATCTCTTACTCTCTTGCTGCTTAGATAAAATGCAGAGTACTTCAGCCGTTTCCAGTCTTAGTGTATACTTTCTAAAGATGGAAACTAGTTGAATGCATTGGTTGTGCTGTGCGCAGGGTGACGGCTGTGCATCAGTGGCAGCCCTCTTTAACCTGACCGAGGGGTGCCCCGTGGAGGGCGAGGCATGCGGGGAGGCGGTGGTGGGGCTCAACCCTGGGCTGGACTGTGCAGCGCTCACGGGCAGCCAGGCCGTGTGTGTGGAGCGGGAGGAGAGCAAGGCGGGGGTGGTGGCAGTGTGTGAGCAGCAGTACGAGCTGCAGGGCAGTGGCGGCTGCGATGCTGCAAGGATGGCCGTGGATCCACCTCTGAGCCCCTTGGAGTTCCACCGCCTCAACCCCGGCATCAACTGCAACAACCGCCTGCCGACTGATTCAATAGAGCGCTACTCAGAGCGCAAGGTGGGGCACTTGTGTACTTCATCAGATTCAATGCAAACCCTGTCATTCTCACATCTATTAAAGGATCTCACCTTCTGGATATCCCTGCATGTAGGTGTGCATTCGCAGCAACATCAGGTTCAAGACAGGCACATGCCCAGGGGGCACCTACACCATTTCTGCTGGCGACAGCTGTGCAATGATTTATGTGAAGGGGTTTGCCAGCATCAAGGGCTGCTACAGGAAGATGAATGGATTTGAGTGCCTGGAGAAGTTGCCCGTTGGGACAACTGTATGCACCCCTGTTGCTTCTAGTGCAAGAATTGGGACATGCATTGGGGAATAGTGATGCTCTAGGTGTATGGTTTGCCTGGTTTCCATTATGAGGGCGTTTGGAATATGAATGTGAGGCCAACCTGCCTCTGATTTCCCAGAGATCTTGGAGGGATCGAGTCTGTTTTGACAGCCAAGTTAGATTTTCAGGAATGCCTGCCATGACAACCATCTGCACCCACGATGCCATTAGTGCCTGAGTGGTGATTTTCTCAGCCGGGGCATAAAAATGCAGCACCTCCAATCAGGGTCTCAGATTCGTTTTAGGGAGGTTGATTGGTCAGGCCTACCCTTCTGAGAACGCTTTCTTGTCAGGGTAGTTTCCATTTTTCGGCCTGAAATTTCAGGCTGATTTTTTTTTAAAGGCCGACGAATCAGGGTTGGGTTTTGAAACGCGCTGAATCAGTTCGTCGCGTAATTGAGAGAAAATCAGTGTTTTCAAGGAACTGCCAAATCCCCACCTACTGGCAGCTTTCGCGCAATTTTTGCTAAGGACAGACCACGTCCCTCACACCTGCTTTAGCTTACCTCGGACAACCAGAATGATTACTTTGTCCGAGGTCTGGTCACGCCCCTCACAACTGCTCCTGATTACCTTGGACTTTTGCGTTATTTGGGCCTAAGGACCAATCACAGCCTCACACCTGCTCCAAGTTCGCTCAGACCACTGGCGAAACTGATCGGGGGGTCGTGGCCAGATTGGATAGGGTTCTTCTGTTTCAGGCTAAAATTCAGTAGAGGCTGATTGGTCAGGCCTGGCTGAACAGGACCACACACTTTTTCTGGCTTACGAAACTAGGAACACAAAATTTTCAGGTTTGGCCAAATTTGAATGCTGGAAAATCAGGCTATGCCCTAAAAAACAGCTTCTCAGGCCTTTTTAGCCTGAAATCTGAGCCTGCCTCCGATCCAACCTTGATGTATGAAAAAAAAGGCAGCGCTTATCAAAATTGGAGAAGTGAATGATGATAGAGTGAGAGTACACACAGATATACCTAAGTGTTGTACCCTCTAAGACGCGACCCTATATAGTCTATACAAACATGACAAATACACATGTTTGACACACCCCCTAGACTGCATAGGGGAATGTCCTAAACAAGCAGCTCAGGGCGGCACTACTAGTCCAACCTCTGAGACAAGGGTCTGAGAGACCAGTCAGAAGGAGTACAGACAAGGCAAGAACAAGAGCAGGGCGGCACTACTAGTCTAGCCACTGGAAGAGGACACAAGTCGAGTCTGAGTATACGTATAAAGGACAGTACAAAGTCAAGGTCCTAGCAAGTGAGAGGCTACAGGAACTAGACCAAGCTGTACACAGTGCCGCTGATGATCTTTAGGCGCAAGCGCCTTCGTAAAGATATCAGCCGTGTTGGCACCTGAGGCCAAGTGTACTACGCGAGCCTGCCGTCGCTGCTGTAGCTCACGCAGGAGGAAGTACCGCAGCTGAATGTGCTTTGCTCTGCCCTCGAGTCGAGGCTCCTGACACAGGAGGATCATGGCCCTGTTGTCAGCGAACAGGACCGGGGCAGAGCTAGGCCGCTCACCTAAGTCAGTGAGCAAGAAGGTCAGCCAGCGGAGCTCCTGTGCCGCCATGACACCAGCGTAGATCTCAGCCTCACAGGTGGACTGCGCAACAGACGAGGAGCGGGTAGCTCTCCACGAGACGGCACCTGAGCCAAGGCTGAAGCAGTAGCCCTGGGTAGACCTGAGTGTCTCAGCGTCGTCCGCCCACGAAGCGTCTGTGTGTCCAGTAAGGACCACTGGCCTGCGTCCTCCTAGCACTAACCCCATGCCCGATGTACTAGCAAGATAACGCAAAACCCTCTTAGCGGCAGACCAGTGCTGCGGTCGGTGTCTGCCTGTGGCCACAAAGCGAGCCAGGATGCTGAGAGGGTATGCGAGATCTGGGCGAGTGCAAGTCATCAGGTACATGAGGCAACCCACCAACTCTGCGTAGGGGCCACTGGGCTCTATCAACTCCTCAGACACTAGAGCGGAGAGTCTATGGTCTACAGGCAGAGGGGTGGGCTGTGCAGAGGAGAACTGAAGGCTGAACCTCTGAAGGACCTGGCGCACCAAGTGTGACTGAGTCAGGGTGATGGTGCGCGCAGCTCTGTCCCTGGAAATCTGCAAGCCAAGGTAACGGCGCAGTTCTCCAAAGTCAGTGCACGTGTGTCTCTTCAGCAGCTCTGCCTTCACGGAGGCCAGTGCGTCCCTGTCTGCTGTGGCAAAGACCAGGTCGTCGACGTAAACAAGGATGTAGAACGGAGTCTGGCCAGCACGAACGAAGAGTGAAGGGTCTGCGGAAGACGGAAAGAACTGCAGCTCAGCAAGCGTAGCACGGAGAGTGTCGTGCCACTCACGGGGAGCCTGACGCAGGCCGTAGACGGGGCGCCACAGGAGCCACTGGGTCCGAGGAGGGAAGGTGCCAGTAAAGCCCTGAGGACGACGCAAGTAGACCTGCTCGTGTAGGCTGCCCTGAAGGAAGGCAGTGGAGAAGTCGAGGGAGTGGAGCTCGTAGTCACGCTGAGCAGCTAGGTGTAACAGAACCCGAAGAGTAGTCATCTTCGGGGTCGGGGCGAAGGTCTGGAAGAAGTCCACCCCCTCACGCTGACTGAAGCCTCTAGCCACATAGCGCGCCTTGAAGACAGGCGGCTCTCCAGGAGGGCGCTTCACCTTGAAGAGCCAGCGGCCATCGACTACGTTCACCCCAGGTGGGGGAACTGCGTCGACGAAGGTGCCGGTGGATCTCCAAGATGCCATCTCCTGCTCCATGGCAGCTATCCACTGTGAGGCCCAGGGTCTTGAAGTTGCCTCAGCGTAAGTGCGAGGGGTCGGGATGTCGAAAGCGTCTGGGTCACCCTGTCGCGTACTGCCGACGTGCGTCCGTCGTGTCCCGGCGTTGAGCGTGTCGAAGCGCTCCGCTGCCAAAACGACGTCACTGTAGCTCGCGTAGTTTGACGCTGCTAGTTGTCGTTTGACTTCGGTCTTCAGCCCAGCGAGGTACGACTGTACTTTTTCCCCTTCCGTCAGGTCGGGACTTCGGTTATTAAATTCCTCCATCTGCTGCGTGTACTGTGCTACACTCCCGAACTGTCGATGGCGATGGATTTTTTCCTTCCGTAGAAGGACGCTATACACCACGAGCGATTCGTTGTAGTATTGCTGCTTTGCGCCTTCAGTGTCGATTGTCGATCCGGGGTAAGAGCCGTCGAAATAGCAGGAGATTTGAGTGCTCTGTAGTAGAAGCTCGAACTTGAAACTCCAAGTGTGAAAATCGCGACCGTCAAAGATTGAGCTTGTTCGAATCTAAGAAACAGCGAAGAACATCATTTGTGTTGCCTACAAAGCTTCGTCACTTAATCGTGTGCTTGCAGGTGGTTGCGTGTTGGAAGCGTCGAAGTTGAAGCCAGGAGTAGAGTCCTTGTCTACAGAGGTTGGTTGCATTTCAGTGGTTTGGCGAGTGGTGCTCGAGCCGTCGATCTCGAGAGATTGAAGTCCATCTTCAAGAATTGTCATTCATTGGAGCAGGTTTTCGAGGAGCCTTGTAGGGACGGATGTCGTTGCCGCCGGATTCCGAGTGTTTGCAGGTGCTTCGGGAGGAGGGCGTCCTTGCCCTCGTGATCCCAAGCCTGGGGCTAATTTGTGGCGGGAGCAAGTTACAGGCACCGCGATATTTGAATTTGAAACTGATCAAGAGTGTTGTGCATAGAATCCTAATAGGCTCTGTTTACCATGAGGCGATCCAATATAGTCCGTAGGATCTTCGGGATTGAACTGCGGTAGTGCGCTTTGCGGAAGCGATTGATTGGTCGACGAACCCTGTCAAAATGAATGTAACTTTACAGTGTTGATTATAGCAAAAGGATTCAGGTTTCATATAGTGATACAAGAGAATGCAAAGGGTCTAGCTAAGATGTACTTAACAAGGGTACATTCCCTTTGAGGTTCCAGATCCGACTCGGGTAACCGTACAGGACTCGGATAACTGCCTGCGCAGTATTACAAGGTCAGTTATGTGTCCTTGCTGTCATGACAGGCCCTTGGACTTCTGTCTGTTCGACTGTTAGTCAATGTTCAACAACCGTTGCACTTCGTGCTACGCGTCATAGGCTTGGATTCGACAAGGGTTACGACTCGAGTGTCACTTTCAGGAATGTAATAAATTCCCTATCGCAACAGAGTTGGAACTTGGAAGAACTTGTGGTGAGCCATCTTTTATGTTGGAAATAAGAAAGAAGAAACTTAAAGCCCAGGTCCCAAATTGCAAGCCGCAAAAAGTGTGCACGGATTGGCCGAGACCGGGGGCAAACTGAGCGGTTGCGAAAATCACGAAGCTTGAGTTTTTTGGGAAGCGAGGGGGCAAATTCGTGGACCAATGAAAAAATTGTGTTTTCAAGTCCGAAATTGCAAACCAGGGGCAATCCCTTCCTTAGCCATATTGTGCAGTTCCGCTGGGGCTCGTTGTATTATAGCTTTCGCACGCCAGGTCTGACACGATCCTTTTTTGTTAACAAAAACACTTGCACCCTGGAATTTGGGACATGGGCTTTAAGCATTTCAGGAGTCTCGCATGATCATACGAATACGCGAGTACAGCAACATCGAAGAGTGACGAGTCGGATTTGCTACAGTACCTTCTGACTGTTGATATAGGTTGACGACAATAACAGAGGTTGCGAAGGGCAAAGGTCGCAGACTGTTGACCTTGCAACCCAGCAAAAGTGCAAGAGTCAAATAAGTGCGACAGCAAGGACACATAACTGGCCCGGTATTACAGTACCGGTGGTTATCCGAGTCGTGCTTATCAAGTCGTAAAGGTAATGTAACCCTTGAAATGCACAGTTAGATCGACCTTTCATATTCTCTTGTATGATTATACATTGTAAGGCCTTGTATCTGTTTGCTATAATCAATAACTTGTTCTCACATACTAGTACAAGGGTTCAACTCAGACTTCCGCTGTGCTAACAAGCACGTTGTTTACTCAAGGACTTAGTCTCTGCCGAAGATCCTAGGGCTTTTCTCGGCCCAACATCCTGAGCCCTGTAAATATCTAATTGCATTGCATGGTTTCTAAGCAGGGTCTAAATTCGTTCTTGACTGTGCTGCTAATCGATCAGTATCATCGTCAGTGTTGTTTTCTTTGTTCCACAACGAATTACGATAATCAACATTTTCCTTGAGAAATTTAATTTTTGTAAGTTGTAGTTGTATTTCCGAAGTTTGCTGTAGGAATTAGTGTAGCATGGAACGAAGAAGGTTGGAGCGAG